TATGCTTTTTCTCTCTTTCCTCTCCATCTCTATCCCTATGTCTTCATTCCACTTACTCATTTCTCCTGTCATTTAAATGCAGTTTGTTTCCTCTTTTGTGTTCTCTGTTCCTTGTGTGTGTCTTATTTCAATCTCTTTGATCCACGAAGCCACATATTGGGTACTGGCATATCCTAGCCAAAGTGCTCTTGAGCAGGCCCTCTGTATAGCTGCTATATGCTTTCCAAATCTGAAAATAGGCTGGTGCAACTCCTTTGGGGTGTCCATCCATGGACATTTTAGAAACATTGGTTTCCAGTGGAAGGGACAACCCCAGAATGGCCTCATGGGCATGTTTCCAGGTATAGTGTCCCTTGAGGGAGCAGGTGGATAGGGTGTGCTCAGAAATGTCCACCTGAGGCACGCTGTTGCTGAGGTGTGGGAAAAGGCTAGTGGTTGAAGGAGTAAATGTGCTTACTTAAACTGATAAAAACTTAGAGGGCACTGAGCAGGGGCACCTTTCCCTGTATTCCTTACCATACTTTCTGGATACTGAAAGAGTGGGCCAGTCTTCAGTTTTGGGTCCATTTCTCTGAAGAATTGCTTTGCTATTTACCTGTTTCCAGCTTTCCCAAGTCTTGACATATGGAAGTTGATGTGATCCTTTTCCATTTTATTGCTGCAGATAGAAATCTGAAAAACTTGGGCTGGTTTTTACTTTACTGCTACTTTGCTGAAAGCTGAAAAACAGCAGAAGTGTTGGACCTGTGTGCTTGAAGAATTAGAAGCAGTGAATCTTTTCTCCTTTCTTTTAGTTCACATCTGAAGCCTCCTGGCCACCACCACCAACAACAAACCCTCGACTTTTGCCCCCCACCAAGTTCTGTAGAATGGGATGGAAAAGACTGCTTACTTGTCCTGTTCTTTTTAGGTTCTTGCATCATTGCCACTTCTGTGGTATTCAAGTACTCTGGATGAAAGGGTTTTTTATGGTGTCCAAATAATTGGTTTTATTGTCAGTTGTTGTTGAGCAGAAAACTGAACTGGAGGGATGGCTAGATTTGTTTGTGCTTGTCTAAGTCATGTTGATGAGCCAGTACATTAGAGGTGATGACTGAAGTATGGGGTGGGGGGGTGGAAGCTGGTGCTGCAATACAGTAACAGAAGAAACCATGAGAAAAATGGATTGTAAGGCCCCTTGGAGAGTTTGTCTAGTGTACTTTTTGCAAGGAATTTCTGTCTGGCCTACCTTTATCACGGCATTCATTACTGAATGCTCCTTGGGTCATTCCTCGTTTCTCTCTTGTTCTCTCAGTGGAGGTATTGTTGAAAGTAGTTTTGGTGAAAAACTATTTGGGAATGTTGTCCTGATTTGAAAGAATGTGTATAACGAATATGTAAGGATTTGGGGGAGCAGGGAAGGGTCACAGACCAGAATGACAGTTTGCCTGCTATTCTGGTAATTAATAGGGCTGTGTGAGATTTTGGCAGCTGTTTCATTTTTGGAGGTGTTTCAGCCCATTTTGGCACCTGAAACACCGAATCCAAAACAAAATGGAAGGCTCTGAAACATCTCCAAAATTAAATGAAACCATCTGAAACATTTTGGAGGTACCCGCTTACCCTGGGAATAGTCTGGCACAGCCCTGCATCCCTCCTTTTAAGGTGCCAGGAGGCTGGGGCCAGGCAGGGCAGCCGTAGGGGCTTCTTCCATGGCTCCCCCCACCGGGGCAGAGGCAGGCACAACTGGAGGAGCCGCGGGAGAAGCCTCCGTGACTTCTCTGCCCAGCCCCATCCCCCTTCTGGCCCAAGCCTCCCAGCACTTAAAAAAAGTCCCGCGCTCACCAGTTGCAGCAATGGCGATCAGGACCTCTGGGGGCTCATGACAGATTTCCCCCCACCTGGCACCCCGTGGCATGAGTGCAGTGTGGCTCAGCAGGGCGCTGTCCAGGAGCTGGGGCTGAATGGTGCCGGGCTCCAGCTAACTGCTGGAGCCACCCCAGCTCCCAGATGGCGCATGGCACCCTGCTGAGACACGCTGTACCCACGTGATGTGGCAGCTACCACGGGGGTGCCAAGCGTTTGGGGGGGGGGGGGGGGGGGTGCAATCCCCATGGTCCCATGCTACACAGGGGACTCTGCCACAAACCCTCAGAGGCCCTGATCGCTGTGGTTGCAACCAGTGAGTGCAGGGCTTTTTTAAAAGGGCCAGGAAGCCAGGGCTGGGGTGGGGGATGTGGCCAGGCAGGGGAGCCATCCGGGGTTCTTTTGCTGCTCCCCCCGCCGTGGCTT